CGATCAAACGGAGCTGCCAGAAGCGCTGGCTGCTGTCGTCCTGCCACCTTCCCTCGCTCCTGCAGCTGTTCCCGTGCCTTTGCTCCTCTCTCACAACCCTCTTGGGAGCTGCCTCAGCTAAACAGGCAGAAAATGAGCCAGAGACCAGAGCCAGGACATGGTTTTTGCTGCTGCCAGCACTTGCCTGTACTGCTGCCGGGGGTCCAGCTTCCCCGTGTTCGTCCCCCAGAGCTTGGAGGCCAGCACGCGGACGATGTTGAGGAAGAGGAAGAAGTTCACCTGCAGACAGACACCCACGGCGGTTTTGTTGGCCGCGGTGACCTTGGGTCTGCCCAAGCAGCCCCCCCAGGACGAGGACAGGCAGGTACGTGGGGTGATGCTGTGGTCAGTTCCCCTGGATCCCTCTGCATCCCACGGGCCCTCCCTGGGAACACAACCCCAGCGACCGCAAGCAAACGGCTCTGGGTGTCTGTCCATCCCCTTTCCCCAAGCGAGACTGGGAGATTCAGCCACGGGATTCTCACCACGATGGCAGCCAAGATGGGGACCTGATAAATCCACTTCATGTTCCCTGCGCTGAGGTCCCAGCACCTGAAGAGACCAGTAAAAAAAACACCTTGGAGAAACCTGCAGTCACTGGTAAGGGAAACTGCTGGCTGATGGCTCCTTGTAGCCCCCAACCAGCGTCCCCACCCTCTCACCTTTTGCTCTCCTCGTGGAGCAGCCGTGCTACAAGCACTCACAACCATTGTGGTGTTGCAAATCACTTTTAAGTTAGCATTAGCGTTCCTGAGGGCTCCTTGGCCAACTTATCTAGAACTCCTGCTCTGCTTGGTGGCCTTTCTCCTTTAGCATGCTTAACTTTCCAACATGCCCTTTAACATTCATCTGTGCACTGTTTATTGATCAATTTGTGGTGTCAGCCTGCATCCATCTTCCTTCCAAATGCAAGACAAAACCACTATCGGTCTGGATTACTGGACAATTTTGTGAACGAGCCTTTTACTTGTGTTCACTCTTCTTCTTGTAAAGGTTTCATTTTCAAAAGTTCTGGTGCCCACAGATGCTTTGGTAGCGTTTGCAACCAGTTTTTCCCTCCCCAAAGGACTGTCGGAGAAGGTGGACCTACGTACTGTGTATCCGCCAGTGAGGCTCTGACGCTGGCCCAGACGGACACAAACACAGCAGGAAGACCTGGAGGGGCACGAACCAGAACGAGGAGCATGAATGAAGCATCACGTTTGCAGACCGAGCCGGTTCCTGGCCACTGGTCTGCATCCCGCTGCCCTTATCTGGGCACTTGGCGCCACTCAGCCATCGCTGATGCCACAGCTCCCCGTTGGCCTCGGCGACCACAACATTGTGTTGGGGTCCGTGCTTACCCCAGCCGATGATGATGAGGACCCACAGGTAGTTCTTGTTGGAGAGGAAGGCCATGAAGATCAGGCTGTGCAAGTAGAGACCTTCCACCAGGATCCAGTAGTGGTTGGTGGCCAGAAAATAGAGGAAGAAGCCAACCTGTGGGCATATAGTCAGAGAAATGCCCACATCCGGCTGTCCCCTGAAAGCTAAACCTGGTGGCTTTTGCTCTCTGGCCAAACCCCAGGCTGTGCCCCATGCGTGGCTCCCGTTGGATATCCCCTGGGATATTCCAGCATCGGTTGTAGAGCCCACTCCCTAGGTTTTTCCCATAGAAGAGGTTTTTTCCCATAGAAGAGGATTTCCCATATCAGGGCACTGCAAGACCCACGTCCTCTGTGGCTCTGATCTCTGCTGGGGCACCAGGATGAGGAGAAGCTGAGCAGAGCTGTAGGTGGCCCCTCATCCCTCCCCAGCTGCATCGCCCCTCAGCAGCACAGCCCCAATCTGGGAGGGTCCTGAGCTCACCCCCCTTGCACCAGGGCTCCTAAACCCCCGTTCCCCCTGGTCCTGCCACTTGCCATGTGAGTCCGTTGTCCCGACGAGGGACCCATTCCTGCCTTGAAGTCGTCCTCCCGCACCTTTTCTGTCTCGCTGGCCAGCGTGCTCGAGTAGAGCACCATGTCCTTCACGAAGATGCTCACCGCCCGGCAGATGAAGGAGGTGAAGAGGTGGACGTGGATGTAGTTGCGTGTGCAGTGCAGGCGCCTACGGAGAAGGGGTGTGACACGAACCCAGCCCTGGCTGCCCACCGAGCTCATCACACGTGGGCTCAGGCAACGCAGGGTCCCAGAGAAGGTGAGCTCCAAGGTGTCAGCCCTCCCACAGGCACAGAAGCCAGATCTGGGGGGAAGTTGGGGTGTCAACACCTTGAAGAGGACGGTGGAGCGGACGGGGACCTGGTCATCCCAGGGGCGGTTTGGGCTTTGGGATGTCACCTGATGTCTGTGCTGGGATTTGGGGACAGTTCCCATTCCCTTAGGGGCTGGTCCCTCTGGGGGGGCTGTGTGTGC